GTGCCCATTCATAAAGACAAGCAGGAATTCTAGACAAGCCCACCCCTTGGGAATGGCTGTGACTATGTGCAAAGAAGTCATGGTGAGCTTCTAAGCACTGCAAAAGAGGAAAAAAGAAATGAAATCACCATCACCTGCAAACTGATGGCAATGGCAGTGGCAGTGGCAGAGAATTACGGCCCTGAGCGGGATGCCTGGGTATCAAAGTCAGGGGAGGACTGAGAGGGAGGGGCAGGTTGATCTCCAGGAAGGCTTTCCATTCAGGAGCAGAAAAAAATTATTCTAAACTGTCACGGCTGAGTCCCGAGTATATGAAAATTAAAGAAAAATACAAATCCTTTAAGTCATTTGGGCCATAATAGAAATGCTGATTGCATGCCCTCCATCCAGCACAGAGCTTCCACACAAAGGTGCACAGCAGACTTGGAGTTGGCCCCTGTCAGAAACAAAATCTCATAACGTTTTTATCAGGCTTGCATCAACATGTCAAAAACTGCTGGATTTGGGAAGGTACCGAGATAAAGAATATTTTTTTTTATTAAAGCAAAAATACTTCAGTTCTATCTCAGTAAGTCTTAAATGCATAGTGTGCAGATCCATTGTTATAAAACCAACAGCAGCAGGTGTGGAGGCCAGGTGCTCCAGGAGAAGAGAAAGGGCTGGATGGAGAGGCCCAGGATCAGGGCACCTGTGTGTGAGGAAGCGTCACAGGGCTCTGTGCCCACCATGCAGAGCCTGTGCATAGGAGAATGGGTATTGTCACTGGGGCTGTTGTTGCAACAGCCTCATCACTGCCTCTTAACTCTAGCTGCGGTGGCTCTTCTCCTATTTCAAAGAAACAACAGGGAGATGTTTCTCTTTTCTTAATTGTGTGGGCTGTGGGGCTGAATGGGGAAGGAAGAGAATGGTATAGGATAGTAAGATTCACTTGCCATTTGGGATCCAAAATGCAGGTCTACTCTTTTTACAATCTTACACAAAGGACCAGTTTACTAGGTGGGAGATGTGAAAATGGAGAACTTTGCTCCTTCTTCCCTTGGAAGTAGTACCACATCAGACACACAGACTTTAATATACATTTTTTTTAATCCCTGTATCCTTTGAAGGCCAAAATGTTGTCATTTATACCAATTGTGTTTATAGCTTCTAAGGAGCATAGTTTTTGTGGCAAAGAGAAGATTCTATATGAAAGAAAATTGGACTCGGAATTTTGTATAAAAAGCACATTCGTTTTGCTTGCCACTTTGAGTGTGCTTTTGTTTGCTTTGGCGGATGAGGGAGAGTTGAAAAAAATGGTGTCTTTATTGTCTTTAAACCTGTATAGCACATGGCTGGCTCCTGCGGAATATCAAGCTGAGGGTTTGTTTGCTGCCTACTTGACCTCAATGTAACACACATAAGTTGCTCCTTAAAGCCGGTGTGGGCACCTCCCCCAACCCCGAGGTAGCCAACATCTATTCTACCTCTGTCCAGGGGTGTGATCCCTGGGAAAGTACTTCCCAGAGCATGAGATGAAGCCATTCACTGTTTGCCATATGTGGAGACACTAAGATCAAAGGATATAGAATGAGGTGAGTAATTAACATCCACTTGCACTGCCTATCAAAATACAGCTTTGTCTCAAAGAATAGAGTTGTTTGATCAATCGGTCTTGACTGAGAACTATAAAAATCCTAGCCCTTTGATCAGAAATCCTCCTCTCTGATCCTGGGGATGAGGCCTATTCTCTGACATTCGGTGCTAAAAATGCAGCAAGCTATGATTCCCAAATCAAAACAAAAACTTGCTCGAGTGAAGAAAATTCCGAGGTTTTAGTGCACCCACTTTGGAAGTTTATAGAAACAATGGCTTTGCACTGCAAGATTTTTTAAAACAAAACCTTGAAAGAATAAGAAATGTGATAGCAGGCTTGGGGCTGACACAGGAGTAAGCGGAGGGCAGGAAAGGCTGGTGGTGAATCTAGACCATTTATTGTCATACTTTCTGAGGGCCACTTTAAAAGTGGAAAGCCTGGGCTAGCCTTGGTGGCACTTGTCTTTATTCCCAGCATCCTGGACAAGGAGGCAGAGTGATCTCTATGACTTTGAGGCCAGCCTGTTCTACATATCAAGTTCCAGGCTCGCAAAGACTACATAGTAAGATTATAAAAAGAAAAAAGTCATGAAAAGCTAGCATAAAATAGAGTCTGCCAGGCTAGCATAAAATTTACTGGGCTTCAAGGCCATGTCCTTGCCCAGCTCCTAATGACTGTTTTCCTGTTAGAGTTAACCTTAAGATAAAGAAGATTATTAAATTCGGGGGATTATGCATGATTTTAAATGCAGTGTAAAACATCACAATCTATTTGATGGCATTGAATTCTCTTCTTTCTTGATTACATACTTCAGAAGTAAGTCTGTGGGCTATGTGTCCTGTTTGTTCATGCTTGACCCCAAGAAAAAATAAACAATGAGTTCTGTGGGCACTCTTTTACCATAGCATGAGTATGCAGGTACATACACACACACACACACACACACACACACACACACTTTAGTCCAACCTTTAACCTTCTACTATAAGTCTCTGTAACAATGACCCTTTACCATCCCAAATTTGAAAGAAAAATATCAGAGGTTTGACAACTATCATTCCATGTCTATTAAGTTCTCTGAAGACTTTGACCTAGGAACACGCTTGATGGATAGCAACCTTTTTATTTGGCAGTCACTGTCCTCCCTCGTTTCCTGTACACTCTTTTCATCACTTCTTTGGCTGTCTCAGCAGTGTCCTCTGTGGCTATGCTGACACTGTGCACCTTAAAAAAGAAAAAAAAAAAGAGAGATGGGGCAAAAATACTGTCAGATTGTGAGAGGCATGCTAAACACAATAAACAACACATCTGCACTACCATCCCACACTCAGGACTTATACAAAGGAGAAAAGGAAGGCTGGGAGCACTGTGGACTTCCTGATAGTCTCTCTTCATATCCTTTGTCTTTCCACCAGCCCTTTCCATCTTAGCTTTCCGAAGGGATGATAATTCTTCAGTCTCCATGACTGGTGTGCTACATCGTTCGTTGTGTCTGACTTTCATCTTTGCTTCTCTTTCTACTCATGGATGACCTCTGACACCTCACTCTAGGAGTTCACATCCTCTCCTCTCATTAACACTGGGCACTCTCTCTTTATTCTCTTTCTCACCCTTAAATGTGCTCTCTTCTTTTGCTTAATACTAAAGTATAGCTGTCCTCTAGGCTTCTCAGTTGAGTTCTCATTTCTTCTGTCTCATGAGCTCCTCCACACCTGCCATTTCCCTATCCCATCCATCTCTATGTATAGCACTGTCTATCTTCTTAGGTGTGGATACATATGTCCAAATGGTCAACTAGATGTTTCTCCTTGACAGAACTTTCCAAAGGCACCCTAGCCCAGCAGAGACCTTGTGCGCATACTTTCTCCCTTCCCTTTTCTGGTTGACATTCAGTTCAACTCAATCTAGGAGTGCTTATCAATTTGCTAATCACCCTGACTATGGTGGCTTTAGAAGGGCAAAGAGAGTAAAAAACTTTGAGTGAGTGTAGACACATTTCTAGTTTAACAGTGAAGAGAAAAGAGGGGGAAAGATCTGAGGAAATTGCTTTTTAAGTGAAGGGAAACCTAAGCAATTTTGTTGGCAGTAGAAAGAATGGTGGTATGGAAGAGGTGAAAGATGGGGAAGATAGGAAGATAGGAATTATACCCAGACAGCCCTGAGGCTAAGACCTAACATGTCAATGGGAATTTCTTATCTTCCATCTGCACATGACTTTTGCTTTAATAAATTCATGCCTATTATGTATCACGACACAGCAACTAAATAATGATAAACCATTTTTGAAGTATATTCATTTTGACATCTATAGTTAGGCAAAAACCACACTTGGGGCCCATTTATCCTGTTAGATAGACCAAGTGCTCCTCTTCTCTTTAAAAAACCTCCCATGTAAATCTTATTCCTCAGGGGTATGAAGAATACTTTGAATTCAGTCCCCAAACAGCTAAGATCTTTCAATTGAAACTACTTTAAAAAAAATTTTTTTTTGCTAGTACTGGGGGTTGAACCCAGGGCTTCATGTTTCTTCAATAAGTGTCCTACCGCCAAACTACATCTACAGCCCAAAACTCTGAGCTTTTTCTAGAATAAGCAAGTTATCTCATTTGAAGACTGTCTACAGAATTAGTTTCTATTGCTATGATGGCATTTTCCAGTCTTTTTCCTGTGGAATAATTTCCATGTCCATGGTCACAATAGCATTGTCATACAATTTCCCAAGTGTCACTATTTATTTCATTCAAGTGAACAGACCCATATTTCAGTTCTACTTCTGTGGAGGGACAGGGAGGGGATGCAGAGGGTAAAGGAGAAAGGGTGGAAATCTGTGTAGGGCCAAGCTGAGTTGCCAGGTAGGCTTCTAGTTCTAGATGTGATCTGATTGAATAGCTTTTCAAAAGGTGTCAGCATGACAAAGAACTAGGCAATCTCTCATTTCAAGCTGGTCAGATAGAATCCAGAATGATGTCACTCAGAATGGTGGAGGAAGATAAGAGACACCGTGTTTGGAATTTCAGACATGACAGCAAGCCTGAATGCAAGCATTCAGCAAGACTGAATGCTTCTTACAGGCAAGGAGATACTGTCAGCAAATGCGACTCTTATTTCTCCTCTCATTTATCCACCCTGAGTCCTCTCACCCTTTTATCTCCCTGACACTAATGCTTCCTCCTCAGATGCACTTAGTTAAGATTGCACAGAAGTGACCACAGGCAGTGATCCTGAGAAGGCTAGGACGTGAGGGGCCTCATCTCCTCGCCTCAGTTGAAAGCCTCAGCTTTAGCATCTTGCCAGAGCTGTGGGTGGAGCTCAGGACGTGATTCCACTGTGGCTTCTCCTCCCACAGAAGCCCTGCCCCCTCACACTTGGACAGTGGGAAGATTAGCTTTCTTCCTCCTCTTAGTTCACTCCTCTGGCTGGTGTGCAAGGTCTTGCAGAAGCCAAGGATTTGCGTTCTGGGCTTGGCAAAGTGCATAGGAAGAAGACAGGGCTCCCCGGCTGGGAGGAGGGAGGAGAGCTGAAGATCCTCGCCTGGGCTGCCTCAGCTAAGCAAAGTGGGCAGCTCAGTGCCTGAAAGAGGACTGGGCTCGCTCGCACTAGATCAGTAAGTGGTGACTGTATGGCTTAAGGAAGGATGGGTGCCCCTGGGTCATGGGGTAAACTTGAAAATGTTGCTTGATTCCAGGGGAAAGCTGCAAGGCTACTTACTGGCTCTGTGTGCTTTCTGTGTCGAGCGCAGACTAGAGGCTTAAGTACAGAAATCAGAACTCCAAATGCTTCCTCCCAGTCCTGGAAAATGACAACTTCTCCAGAGTAGTTGTGGACATAATCTTCTTTCCTGATCCCTCTTCCCAGACAGTTGGGATTGAGTGGGGAAAGTGAACTGTAATATTAACAGAAATTGCAGTTTCTTATTGTTTTCTGTATGTGCTGACATTGTTATATCTATTAACAGTAATCTTCAGGGAAGTCTGAAGATTTAAGGGGCTTAAATGGGGAAATTGAGTTTTTATGACCAGGAGACTGAGTAGTCCATATATTAGGGATTAAATACAAAATGTATGTTATAAATAATTGATGTGTTTTTAAAAATCATTAAAGGGGAGCAGCAGCCAGGAAGCATTAAAGTGCATGATAAAAAAAAAAAATTAGAAAAAAGAAAATTCCACATCCATGGCTTTTTGCAGTAGCCAAAAATTTCAGGATGTTTACAAAGTCAGGACAGTGATTCAGGAATACTTCAATTATTGTTGTACATTATTAATACTGTTGCCGGGCAAGATCTGTGGTTCTCTGGTCAGCAAGTTCTGGCAATGAAGCCACTGCCGCTGGTGCAAAGAATTCTGGGATGTCTGACAGTGAAATGGATGGAAGGACTCACATTCCATCTCTACTTAATGCCCTTTTGTCCAGAAATCGGGTCATGCAGATGAGCTATTTGGTACGTATACAGATCAATACTGGGAAAAGCATTTCTGAGGGTTGTGTAGCAGAGGGAGTCTAGATGATGTCTCATTGCAAGCCCTGGGCTGAGAGCACCTAGAAGCCAAGAGACAGGAAGGCAGCTTGGCTCAAACCAAACTTGTTCATTTTGTTTTCTATCTGTCTTGAAATGCAACCCCAGAGGAGGACAAGAATAATAGCTGAGAGGAACACTGTGAGCATTTGTTCTGTCCTGAGTGTCGAAATTCATTAGTGTGTGGGTAAAGTTGGGGAATTTTATTTCTGAATCCCAATACTCAAATACTGTAATCACTACATTAGAGTAAATGACACAAAATAAGAGGTATATTTATGGGGAGGAAGAAGTATGAGAATTTGTATTTTGAAATGTTATAAAGAGGAGAAAAAGACCACACTCTGCAGTGTAAAGAAGTCTTGTGTCATGGTCGCTGAAATGCGGGACCCCAAATCAGTGGGCCTATGACACCATAGACAGAAATTCCAGAAATCTAATTCTCTTTATTCTAATTTCTCTGAACAATAGCCAAAGCAAGGTGTCTTTTTGGGGTTTTTGTTTGTTTGGTTGGCTGATTGGTTGGTTGGTTGGTTTTGTTTTTGTTTTTTACGTTGGACAACAGAAAACTGCATAATGACTTTTATCTCCATTTGTTATTAACATGAAAGAGTCTCATTATAGTTCTGGTATTCCCACTGAGGAGAAAAAGAGACTAAACACATTGCTATTTTTCTGTAACACAACTGTGAGATGATTGTTACGGTCGGACTTCTTTTCCAACTTAGACTTTTATTTATAACTTTTGCTGTAGGACAGATGAGTAGGGAGTGGTCGTTAGGACAAGTAACAACAATAAAATAATAAAATGTCAATAAGGCACACTTACAGATATGGCCTGTACTCTCCCAACTTCATAAGCAACCTAATTTTAAAACATATTGTCTGTCAGATATTGCTTTTTATTTCCAATGTTAGTATTCATGTGATTTGTTGAAATACTGAAAGTCTGGGGGTTCAGTATCTGAATTTTGTAATACTTCTCTTATCTTAAAAAATATAAGACATTAAAATATAATGTGTGACAGTTGACATTTTAAGAATAGTATAATTCTAAATGAAGTTTCTGTTCTTGAGAAAAATGTGCTAAGAGTCTTCAAAGAACTGCTTGTTTATCTAAGAATGTTAGAGAATCTTGCTGAAACTATAGAATAAAACAGAATATTGGGAAAAGACCAAAGGCATCATTTGGATCCAAGAGGATAGAGTCAATGCATAGGTATAAGATGATGGTTTGCTCTACATGAGAGACTGATGTCAAGAACGATGACATTGTAACTACTGAAACTGTTAAAGTTTTATCTTTAAGAGTGGTTAAGTAGGAATTAATATTTTTAATGAAAATAAACTAAATGACATTTAAAATTGTTCTTTCACAAGAAAAGTAAAGAACAAGGCTATGGGAAGCTAAGCAGTGATGAAGACCTCAAAATAATTGTTGACCAGAAGCAGGTAAGTGAACACCCCCTGTTGCCTGTTGCCTGTAGACTTTGACCTGGTAGCCCTCTGGGTTCAGAGCTCTTCCCTGACATCGGCTTTCATCTACCTAGAACTGTTATTAATATAGATTTAGGTGGCACCAAAGCTTCCCTCATCTCTGCCCCACTGATTTCTGCATGATGCCAACCCAGCGTGTGCTGTGTGTGAGAAAAAATACCAAAGCACAAAGCAAGGGCAGGAGGCGGGAACTCTGAGGACTCAATACAGTGAGTCAAAATAACATGATTTGATTGAGGAAAAAAAAAAGGTTTAAGTAAGAGCTAGGAAGCATGTTATTTGAAAAAGAAAATGAGAAACACTACCATTGGTGTGTTTTCTAAAACAAAGTGTGATTAGGCAGGTGGGAATAAAAGGTGTGAAATTTTGAGGTATGTAAACTTAGGTCTTGCCCAGTTTAGTTTTTTGGTTTGTCTGCAGCAAGTGTTGAGATGATCTGAAATGCAAACAGTTTGTCGCATAGACAGTAATTCTGCCCATAATTTGAGAAGCCTCTAGGTTGGATGTTATTGGCCCATAAGGTGCGATAAAAATGGCTTAACAGTGCATAAACAATGACATAGCAGGGAGTGTACTGTGTCCAGCCGGAACACTGACTTGGCATTAGCCCTTCACGTCTTTGTTAATTATCAAGGAGACAAGGTAACTGCCCATGCATTCAACATATGTGTGGCATGGACTCTGAGGGCAGCACAAACTCGGTGCCGACAGAGTGATTAATTAAAGGGTCTGAGCTGATGAGAACATTAGAAAGTAGCCACTGATTTTCAGAAAAGCTGCTCAATTTGGACAACTTCCCCATCATGTAGTTGGCTCTGGGTCATGGTGATTACACTAAGGGAGCCAGTGCGTGTGCATGTATGTGTGAGTGCATATGTGTGTTTCACAACATGGGGAATAGCTACTAAAAGGCAGCAATGAGAAGTCAGTGACTTAAGTCATACTTACTAGAATGATTGGGCAACTGAAGGTTTCCTCTGGAAGGTCCTGGCTGAGCAAAGCATTTCCATGGAAGTTCATGGTGAACGGGCACACCCGGGCTTGCCCCTGTGTTTCCTGCCCCATTGTTCTTGTCACTTTGCTGCTCGTGAGTACAGAAAGATAGGGTTGTGAGGGTCCTCCTGCATACTGTTATTCACTGCCAGATTGTTTAACTGCTAAGGTATGTGGAGCACCAGTTATACCACGGTTATTTCAGTTATGCCGGATTAATTACTTAGGACATGCACTCTAGATCTCCCACGGACTGTGATTCCAATTAAGGCGTGGACCTACTAGGTAGATAAACTAGTAAAGGAGGAGAGAGCATGCCATGAGAAATACACACACATACACACACACCTCTATTAATACAGTTTTTATTTCTTGTTTTGCCATATAAAAATAAATTCTTACCTTTTACTTCTTTATTACTTTCTTTTCAAAGCTTTTAGTTCATTCCTATTTAATTTTGGTATTGTAACTAACTATTCTCTATAAGAAAACTACAGAATTACTTATTTTTATATTTTTGATGACGAGTCCAAGAACATTATTCTTCACTTTTCCTATGCTGACTTTTCACAAATTTATATTGTGGACCAAACCCTTCCAGTGCTGTCACCTAAGTTGGTACTGCTCTGAGTGACCCCACTGCTGAATCATTCGTGACAGAGCTGACTATGTCAGTCTAGGGGCTGACTGCTGGCCATGAAGCACTGTCCTTGTTTGGGAGGTTTGGGGGTTTCTGTTTTGAGAGAATCTTAGGCTGAAGCAATGACAAGTTCACTCCCTCCAGCTAAAATATCAAAATACCACTAGTTATTCTTTTAAAAACTCCAAAAAGTTATTCCTAAGATAAAGAGGCCAACAGTTAAGCATGTATGTGAGTAAATGCATACGTCAACACATAATTCTCCAGAAACCCAAAGTTGTTCATTCCATATATATATGAAATTGTGCACATGTTATATATAAATATAATAAAATTAAACTGTGTGTCCCTATATACTCTTTTGATAATAATCTTTATTTATGTGCAATTTGTAGCTTTAAAAAGTATGGAGGAAATTTGTTTGTCAATCTTCATATAACTCTAAGAAGGCTTTTTAGTGAGTTATGCCAAAAGAAAACCTAAGGAAGACAAACAAGTAACTGAGGTTCTGTGATGGGCAAAGTCGCGATCTCATTAAATCTGTCCCTTGACTGCTGTCACTCCACAAGTGCTGTGCAAGCTCGGTGCCAGTTCATCCGTCAGGTGATTCGCAAGCCTCGTGCTCCAGCAGGGAGCCCATGGTCTTGCTTATGTAAGCATATTAATAGCAAAAGTAGAGTGCAGGATGTGGGCTTGCCATCCCTGGCTGCTGTTCTCAAAAGGTTAGAAGATGATGCTGTGTTATTTTGACATGGAAAAGCAGTGTAAACTTTGTAAATGTGTAAGGTTTTTCTTTTTGAAGGGCAATACTGTCTTCTCCATCTGTGAAATTTTTCTTGGTAAATTTGATTCAAAATGCATATTTTTAAAATCACACAGGATTCTTAAGCTAGTACTTACTAACAGGCAACATATATTCATATATATATGTATATATATATGTGTATATATATACATATATATATATACATACACACATTCACATGTGTAATTTATATATGACTATATTGCATGGGGATCAGAGTCCATATTTCCACCTGATATTCCCACAGGTTTTAACCTTCAAACAGAAAAGTAATGAAAATGGATGTATTGCAATAAAATCTTTTTTTCTTTTTATTAATTTTTATTATTGGTTACATTTTTTTATTTTTTATATTAATCACAGGTTATTTACTTTGTATCCCAGCCATAGCCCCCTCCCTTTTTCCCTCCCAATCCCACCCTCCCTCCCTCGTCTACTCCCTGCCCCTTTCCAAATTCACTAACAGGGGAGGACCTCCTCCCCCTCCATCTGACCCTAGCTTATCAAGTCCCCTCAGGACTGGCTGCAATGTCCTCTTCTGTGGCCTAGCCAGGCTGCTCTTCCCTCGTGGGAAGGAAGTGGAAGAGTTCACCATTGAATTCATGTCAGAAATAGTTCCTGTTCCCCTTATTAGAGAACCCATTTGGACACTGAGCTACCGTGGGCTATATCCGAGCAGGGGTTCTAGGTTATATCCATACATGGTCCTTGGTTGGAGAAACAGTCTCATGAAAGACCCCTGTGCCCTGGTATATTTGGTCCTTGTGGTGCTCCTGTCCTCTCCAGTCTTACTAACTTCCCCTTCTTTCATATGATTTCCTGCACTCTGCCGATGGTTTGGATATGAGTCTTAATATCTGCTTTGATACACTGCTAGGTAGAGTCTTTCAGAGGCCATCTGTGGTAGGCTCCTGTCCTGTTACTTGTTCTCTCCTACATCCAATGTTCATCCCATTTGTCTTTCTAAGTGAGGATTGGTTATCTTACCCCGAATCCTCTTTCTTTAAAATCTTTTTAATTTATTCATTTTTATTAATCATAATTTATTCACTTTGTATCCCAGCTGTATCCCCCTCCCAGCTCTCCTCTCAATCCTGCCCTCCCTCCCTCTTCTCCTCCCATGTCCCTCCTCCAGTCCACTGATAAGGGAGGTCCTCTTCCCCTTCCATCTGACCCTAACCTATCAAGTCTAACCAGGACTGGATGCATTGTCTTCCTCTGTAACCTGCTAAGGCTGCCCCCACTTCAGGAAGAGGTGATCAAAGAGGCAGCCCTAGAGTTCATGTCAGAGACAGTCCCTGTTCCCCTTACTAGGGTATGAACTTGGACACTGAGCTGCCATGGGCTACATCTGTGCAGGGGTTCTAGGTTATTTCCATGCATGGTCCTTGGTTAGAGTATCAATCTCAGAAAATACACCTGGGCCCAGATTTCTTAGTTCTGTTACTCTCCTTGTGGAGCTCCTGTCCCCTCCAGGTTTTTCATCTCCCCCTTCTTTCATAAGATTACCTGCACTCTGCCCAAAGTTTGGTATGAGTCTCAGCATCTACTTCTATGCCCTGCTGGCTAGAGTCTTTCAGAGGCCCTCTGTGATAGGCTCCTGTCCTATTCCCTATTTTCTCCCTCTTCCAATGGGATCTTCACCAACCCTATATCTGACAGAGGGCTAATATCCACAATATATAAAGAACTCAAGAAGTTAAACAGCAACAAATCAAGTAATCCAGTTAAAAAATGGGGTACAGAGCTAAACAGAATTCTCAACAGAGGAATACTGAGTGGCAGAGAAACACTTAAAGAAAGTTCTATGTCCTTAATCATTAGGGAAATGGAAATCAAAACGACCCTGAGATTTCACCTTACACTCATCAGAATGGCGAAGATCAAAAGCTCAAGTGACAATACATGCTGGAAAGGATGTGAAGAAACAGGAGCCCTCCTCCACTGTTGTTAGGAATGTAAACTTGTACAACCACTTTGGAAATCAATCTGGCACTTTCTCAGAAAATTAGGAATAGTCCTACCTCAAGATCCAGCTATACCACTCCTAGGTATATATCAAAAATATGCTCAAGTATGCAACAAGGACATTTGCTCAACCATGTTTGTAGCAGCTTTGTTTATAATAGCCAGAACCTGGAAACAACCCAGATGTCCCTCAGCTGAGGAATGGATACAGAAATTGTGTTATATTTACACAATGGAATACTACTCAGCAATTAAAAACAAGGAAATCATGAAATCTGTGGGCAAATGGTGGGATCTAGAAAAGATCATCCTGAGTGAGGTATCCCAGGAGCAGAAAGACACACATGGTACATAGTCACTTACAAGTGGATATTAGACATATAATATAGGATAAACATACTAAAATCTGTACACCTAAAGAAGCTAATCAAGAAGGAGGACCCTGGGTAAGATGCTTAATCCTCATTCAGAAAGGCAAATGGGATGGACATCACAATAAAATCTTAACAACCTTAAATTTCAAACATTTCCCATAAAAACATGTTTTTA